CACCACAAGCACCACCAGCACCACCAGCACCATCAGCACCACCACCAGCAGCACCAGCACCAGCAGCACCAGCACCAGCACCAGCACCAGCACCAGCACCAGCACCAGCACCAGCACCAGCACCAGCACCAGCGCAATCACAAGGACAAGCACTAGCCCTGGCCCTGGCACTACACCTGCCACCGACCACTAACACTACCGCTACCGAAACCACCACTACCACGACAACCACTAGCACTACCACTATGCTTACATACTATTACTTCGAATCAGAACTGTTACTATGAACACGGGATTTTACAGACTTCGCCATAAACACCCCGCGCCACAGGACAACCAACATTGAGAAACATCTACCTGAAGGGTGACGTCAACAGAGCATCACGTGTTTGAAGTTTGAACGGGAGCCTGTTTCTTTTGGATTTGGTCTACAAGGGCCATACATGGTCACCTATAATCATCCGCTTTGCAGTCTAATATAAACCCCAAACCCTGCACCCTAAACTCTAGTGATGATTTAATTACTATACTATAGTGATTTCCATTTCCTTTTCCATTCTCCCTATATAATCCCTACATCCCCAATATTTGGCAATGTTTGCTTTGGTTTGGTGTTGCAGTTCCGGGTTGCTCAGCACACAAACTCACGAAAAGGGTGGAAACTTGAAACATGTCGGGCCTGTATTACAGTTGCAGCAGCCTGGCTGACCCAAAGGTTCCATCTGCCTATCTGGTTTATACTTGGGGTCTTCAGTAATTCTATGCGAACCACTTTGGGTGTGAACAGTCTTCTTGACAACCACCCCCCCTCCCGGAAAACAAGAAAAAGAAAACAACAAAAGATGCATAGACGCGTGCCAACAAAGTTTAGGCGCGGAATCCTGGAGCTTTCGCGGAGTCACGATGACTCGCAGTTTAGGATTTAAGGTAGACCCCTGATTGATTAAACCCCTCCCCTTCATAGGAATTATAACAGGGATCTTCATATGAAGGCCCTTACAAGGAGGGGACTCATTGATCAGTGGTCTACAATAGGGTCAAAAAAGCCGGGCTTGGGTCTTGTGAGTTGTTTGTACAGGCGAAACACTTCCTTGGCAGTGGCACACTCTATGCCCAAACCCAGCTTGCAATTGAGCACGGAAGTACAGAACTTAGCTGTTGTCATGTAGATAGGGCTATAGAGGAATAGATAAACACACAATTTTTCAACACGCAAAATGATGTCTCTAAGGACCGCACCAGTTCCTGAAGCTCGACTGCAATGTCCCCCGCGCGAAGCCTGGGTTCCACGTGGATGATTCGGGCAAAGAAGTCTGCTACGAAAGGCAGGTACCAATCATTGCGGGGAAATCAAGGAGTATTTTTGGATCCTCCCTGCTCTCCCCTTTCTGGCCCCTTTTCTAGGTCAAGGGGTTTGGGTGCATAGAGTATGCCGCACTTGAGTGAGGAGTTGGGTCTGCAAGCTGAGTTGCATTTTTAGCTGGAAAGCTCAGGGGAAACTGTAGCCCTGGAACATTTTGGCTAGAGAAGTGCAAATGCTTAGCGGATGGGCATTCTGGGCCTTTGCTCTGGAGAAATTCAAGGTTGTCCGTCTCACTTGGGGCAACGGGCTTCTCTTTACAGAGCTGTAGGCACAAAGAATGCCCTGCTTTCCTTGAACACAAACGATGACAAGACATAGGGGAAAACCCCTCTATGGGGGCTGCGCGCCTTGGCTTTTGGAGAAAGGCTGCCACCACAATCCCAGAAAATCATCTTGCACATGTCATGACATGTGCTACCCAGCATGTACATGTGCACGATCAAGAAAAGTTCGTACCAACAAGTTCGCTACTTGTGCCGCTTTCACACAAATTGAAACTCTCTCTCGGTAGCATCAGGTAGATGTCAGCAGAAACAGGAGGGGAGAATTTGGTTTGGGCGGTATCACTCCCTCGTTTCTAGCAGGGGGAGAGCGTGGGGAGGGGGACGAACTTCACATCTCTTCAGTTTCAAGAAACACTGTGCCAAGGTCTACAGTGCAAAGAGGCATAGAGTCAAGGCAAGCTGCTTCTCAGATGCTTTGCGGTTGAGGGCTACGTTCGCATCATCCTGTCTCAAGAGACTTCGCAGGCAAACAGAGCGTGCATCTGGCTTGGCAAGCAAGATCTTAGTTAAGGTGATACCTTCTGATGCTGATGTAGGGTGCCTATAGAGATCCTTAACTGCAGCTGCTAGACTTCGCTTCCAATCCAGCAGCCTGCTATTTATATGTCAGAGTCGTTAGAGATTCCACACTCCAAAAGGGTCCAGGTAGCTATTTAGTGTAGAGTTGGGCCCTGGTACTAGTCATATGGAGGCCGCTTGATCCCTAAGTTTATACCGTGTAGCTACATTAAAAATTTTGGGAACCAAGCAACAAAGAGAAAGCTGCCATAGCGAGACAGTCTCTCGCACGTCCCAGACAGGCAGCGAGAATACAAATAGAAACTGGAACTGACACCTCAGAGACCAGAATGTAAGGGCCTCAATGAACCTCAAAAAGACCTCAACATGATGTTGGTATATACTTGTTTAATTCACTTTCATTTGGTAGTTTCCCAAAATTAGGGGACCCCAACATAGACCCCAATATACCAGAGTCCTTATTATTGGGATCCCCAAAATGGTACCCCTAATTTTGGGAAACCCCCATTTTACTAAGAATAGTGGAAGAGAAGTTGGCTTGCTGTTACAGGTGTCCCATCAGATCCCGGTATGCTGATAGCACCCCTCTGTCCTCCTCTAACTCCTCGTGCAGAAACTGCTTGTAGACGCGGTGCCTGAAGCACGCAGAACTAAAGCACCAGATTCTGAACTCCCAACCCTAGTTGCTGAGGTCCCTGGCCCCCAAAAGATTAACCTTTGTATTATAATTATAGTAGGACTATATAGACCCCAAAAGGGTAAAGGTTACCTACCCAGCTAGTAAGCAAGTGAAGTACCAGCAACATTGCAACAGCCCTCTGTCAGGACTGCTTTGCTGATGCAGAGATGCCTCGAAGCCCTAAACCGCACTGGTGACAAAGTCCATCATTTTGGTTTTGGGTTCAGGGTTTAGGGCTTAGGGTTTAGGGTTAAGGGTTTAGGGTTAAGGGTTTAGGGTTTAGGGTTTAGGCATCCCCAGCTCAAAAGCTTTACATCACCCCAAAAACGCGGTTTTGGGTCTTGGGGAGAATCCTACACGCGAAGCCCTACACCCGAATCCCCCGAGTTTGAACTCCCGCACCCTGAGCTCTGCACACGAAACCCTAGGGTTTAGGGTTTAGGGTTGAATCTTTCGCCTACAAACAGCAAAGCTTCTCCAACAAGTCCAGGTCCTGAATCCTTAAGCTACCACCGCAAATCCGAATGCCGCCCCAAACACTGAATCTACGACTGCTACCACTCCTACTACGCCTAGAGGAATAGTGTAATCATATCGCAAACAGAAAAACAAAAATGACAACAGCACTAAAACACAGCAGCGCTGATACGGAAAGCACTACCTCTGTCTACCTCCTATTCCCTGCAGGTCCAAGTGCCCAATACTTGAGTAGTTGGAATGTGGGGAAGTAAACAATCTAATGCAGATTTTGGGGAAGTGTATGAGCCATAGCCTGAACTCCTAGTATCCCGAGTATCCCCCTTTAATACCCCTTATAGCCGTGCCCTATATTATCCCTATAACATACCCTTTGAATAGTTCAGACTATAGTACAACTGATGATTGAGTACTTGGACCCTCACGGACTACCGTAAACCCTTAACCCATAAACCCTAAACCCTTAACCCATAAACCCTAAACCCCTAAACCCCTAAACCCATAAACCCTAAACCCCTAAACCCCCTAAACAAGGACGACGGCCACGGTGCACGCGCCGGGCGAGGCCAGACCCACTGCTGGAAGCAGCGGCGTTTGCTGGACGCTCGCCGCGGGGCAGCTTCCTTGGGCAACATCACAAGTTTGTGTGTGTGTGTGCATATGTATATATATATATGTCACATATGTGCTTGGGTGTCCTAACAAAATAGTGAACCTACATTGTGGCCATTTTGGTGACAGGTATTTTTGACAGCTACAAGATGTATCTTATATATACATCTATATATATATACACATTTAAAGTATGGAAAAAGCGTCTGCTGGTCGCACAGCATTAGCGGCCTAGAACATTGCTAGTCAAACTTGATTGACGCAACGTACCGGGAAGCCCCTCATCGTTCATACAATTTGGCCTCCCATCATTTTTCCAGGCTTCTTCCGCTCTTTTATGGATTGTTCCCATCGCTTTACATGCTATGTGCTCATGACAACAACACATGTCAGCTGTAGACAGAACTTCCAGGATGATAAGTGTGTCAGTAACCTAAAAGGCATGGTGGACGCCTTAAACTTACCAGGTAGGAAGATTCTATGCCGATAAGCCCTTTGTGTATGTACTTGTCTACATATCTCATATCTGTGTATATATATATATACAACTCTTGAAACATCACCCAGCCCCTATTGCATTTATGCAGACCCCTACGTTATGAGGGCGGTATCATTTCACTTGCGTTCGTGCCGAATGCCCACCAACGTGAACGCGATGCCGGCAATGGACACACCCATTAACACCCATGACTTGGCCGCGTCTGCAACACCTACAGCACCAAAAAACGCAGCCAATCTCGAGCCGGCGAAGGTCACTGACAACGGGGTCCTTCCTTGCAGGCTCGTGTAAGAATTAGAAGCCCCACTGGACACAAACTATCGCGCGACAGCTAACTTTTTAGGGGGGAAACAAGCCGGAGATCCAAGATTAGAAAACCACATGGGTGGACCATAAGTTTGACAACCGCCCACACGTTTCAAAGTGCGTGAAGCTGCTTGGTGACCATGGTAAGAGTTGAGGCCACTTTCTCCGCCACCTTCGGGATGTGTCAAAGCCATAGCTGAAACTCGGCCAGCTTGGATTTCGCGGTATAATATGGTAGCTTCCCTAAATAGGGGTACCCCAATATAGACCCCCAAATACTATAATCCTTATTATAGGAACCCCCAAAATGGTACCCTTAATTTTGGAAAA